TAATAACGATATAAGATGTATAAAGCAGAGTTAAATCGTTTATAGCATTTTGCGATATAGATGATATTATAGATGAGGATGATACTAAATATTCTTACAAAATAAAACTAAAACCCATCTGAAACTTTTATGAAACCCACAAAAAAAAAAACCCTCTCGTTTCCTAATTTACTGACGCGTGATAAATATTCAAGTCTTATTTTGACAAATGAACATATCTAAAAAAAGGTCCCGATTTACCGACTGATTTATTGAATGGAAATATATCATCGTTCTACACTCCTCTCACACATACTCTTCATGCCGGCCTTGACTACATTTAGCCATCAATACTCATTCGTATTTAAAAAGAGTAGGAGATTTTGAGAAATTTTTTGCCGAATTTTTATTTGACATAAGTATAAACAATGTTTATACTTATGTCAAATTTTATAATTGTTTTGCTATTATTGTTTTGCAGTGGAAGCTATTTAAGTCCCACCACTGATAAGGAACTATCAGGCCGATGTTATCATGTTCTCTTCACATATAAGATTCGCAAGAACAAGTAGGTATAGTCACTAGTGTGACATACTTAGCCGTAAATACCGTTTAGTTGAGTAGATCGTTTTTAAAAAATTGTTTTATAAAAACAAGCATCTTTAGAGTGGATATATTTGAAATATTACATCAAAGAACAAAAAAACATATATTTTAAAAGGGAGGCGCGCGCATAATTACTTAAAGAAGGAGAATAAAAATATATCAGCGTTAAAATAAAAATGAAAGTTATACTAGATTCTCGTCAGGAAATGGATATAGTATTGACCCTTATACCCTTATATTCAATAATCTGGTATATGACGTTTCGAATGTTTTAATGCACATTCCTAGAAACCCCTGTTAGGGTATTATCCTCAAAACAAACAAGTAGAACCCACTTCTACGTCTGCGTCATAGCCTTCTTATGTTTCAACTTTTGAGAGGACATACTACTGCTCAGCCAAATACCCTAACTTGTTCCATTTTAAACAAAGTACGCAGATATACTTTTACGAAAGTTAATAAAACGCGTTGTGCAAGAAAAAATATTAGGATATAAAAACTTAAAAATGACATTATTCCTAAGTACTAAAGTACGAATTTAAGGAAAACAAACTCAAAATTAAATAAAAAATGTTTAAGATAAAAGTCTTACCATAATTTGATTTTGAATAAATAATAAGTCCTTATGAAGGATATTTTGTCCAATATCATGTGCAGTTTATAAAGCGCATGTGTATTGTAAAATTGTACACAGGTGTTGTATGACGTATTTTACGGTAATTCAAAGAAAAGAAAAAAGTCCTTCAATATAAGCCTCAGTAAATAATAATGCTATTCGTCAGAGAAAGTGTTACTTGATTTGAAAATGAAAGTGTAAGGTGATTGGTTTGCAATTTTTTTGTGTTTGCAGAGCACGAAAAATAAAAAATATAGAAAACATTTGAAAGTGTCCAAAATCATTAAAAAACCTTATTATGACTTTGCTGTTTACTCTCTATTGCACTCTCTAACATCGTGTACATTCCTGTCCGCTTGCTCTATGCAATATTTCTAACTCGACTACTTCTATCTTTCATTCTAACATATCTTCGTTCTTCCCAAACTCACTTTACTCTCAGTCCGTAGAGCGGGTATGACGCTCCTTCGGGAGCTCAAATAGTCTTTGCGGACTTCTGGTAAAGTGACCTCTATATGGCAATTAGCCAAAGGAGGTTAAACCACAATATCTGACTTTGCTGTTTTCTTTTGTTATTGAATTGCGGTCAATTGTTTTTATACCGTTTTTAAATTTCTAAGTAAATATTTTTTTCTAAAAAAAATATTTTCCGTAGTTACTATGAAAAGCATTTGGGGCAGCATGGAGTATTTAGTTTTTGGTGTGGTTAATAGGATAGGCAAATCTTGAAGATTTAGGTAAAAACATTGAGATTGGGTCTCCACCTCAGCTAACGAAGGGTCAGTCGGAAAACCGACCTCCTCAAATCGTTGACTTATTGGCAACAAGGTCCTTTTGCTAATACCTTCATCACACAAGATTACCAAAAAATAGCAAGTAGAACGCCCAACAATATTCAGGAATATAATAAAACAAACTTGCGAGATGGAATGAACTTTCTCTACCGTTAATTTTTATGAAATCAATAGAAAAAACTCAACTTACAAATCAATTTAATTCAGCAAGTATAACTGTACCATATAAAAAAGGTGGCAAGACAGATTCTGGAAATTATAGACCTATATCACTTCCATGTATTACTTTTAAAATACTAAGTTTGAAAAATATTTTCATGAAAATAATGTTATAGCTAATTAACAGCATGAGTTTGTTAAAAAAAAGTTGTGTACTAAAAATTTACTTAAAACTCTGGATTATATTACAAGAATATTAATCAAGGAATTCCTGTTGATGTAGTTTTACTTGACTTTAAAAAAGCATTTGATACTGTACCACATCAAAGGCTTTTAATCTTATAACCTAAAGCGTATGGTGTTAGTGGCTTAGCACTTCATTGGTTTCAAGCTTTCTTATCTAATAGAAGTCCGAAAGTTATTATGAAAGATTATGTTTTAACTTGCGCTGATGTGTATAGTGGAGTGAAGAAGATGTGTAAAGAAGAAGAGTTAAGCTTGTTTTTTATAAAACTTTTATGTATGGTTACTATTTTTTTTATAAATTATTTTGCTTCTAAAAAATAGGTTGATGTTCTCACATGAATTTATAGTCGAAGAAATGTATGCCCCCTTTATTTATTATTAAAAATGTTTTCTACATGCATTTATTATGCACATGCCAAATTTCACCGAAAAAGAAATAGGAGCAAATACTTTAACTAGTTTTATTTTAAGTATAACACTTTTTTAAAGTAGACCTAGGCAAACGTTTTTTTGTGGTAATTCTTTTTAGAAGCAAATATAAATGTAAAGTATTTTTTAAAAGAAGAAAGGTTAAGCTTGATTTTTATATGTTTGTTATGTATGGTTGCAATACTTTTTAAATGACTATTTTACTGACAATTTTGCATGAAAATTTATTTGATGTTTTCACATTAATTTTTAGTCGAAGAAATGTTGAGCCCCCTTTTTTTATTATTAAAAATGTTTTTCTACATTCATTTTCTATACACATGCCAAATTTTAACGAAAAATAGATAAGAGCAGATTGTTTAATTAGTGTAGCACTTTTGATACCTAATTTCTGTTATTATCTCTGTTTTTCTGTTGTTGTTTTTTCGGCAAGCGAACTACGGCGGCGGATTGGAGGCATTTTATAAACAAAAATTACTACATTAATGTATTATTTTAATTTTTATTATTAGATTTATATTAAAATGGAAAAAATAAATAAAACTTTTTTGGATTCTCTAACAGGCAGTAAGTTTAATCTAACTTTTCAAAATACTATTATTAACAACTATTTCTACGACCAAAATAATATTGATAAATGTAAAACCTTAAACTCTTTCTAAATGATAATTACATAAAGATTAACGTTTAAGGTTAAAATTTTTTCTTTTGAACTGATTGTTAATTAATATTATCAGTTGATAATTTTATTAAAACGATATATATATGTCATACAAATTCTTCAGTGGTTTATTCTTAATTTCTCTCTGTTTAAAAAAGCATTTTAACAATTTTTGTGAAATTTTCATTAAAAATATTTTTTAGGGGTGGAAGACGCCCTCTTTCATAAAAGCAACTTATACACTACTAGTTACTATTTTTTAAAGTGTTAAAATAGATTTTTAATTTTTTATAATAGATTTAATCATTTTAGTAAAGTTTGTAATATTTAAAAGAATGAAATTTTGATGGAGTGTTTTAAACCTTCACCACAACACCCGAATTTAAGATAGACCTGTAATACTTGTTAGTGATGTGGAATAATTAAAAAACAACTTGTTGTATATAAATATTACCAATTTCTTAAAAAAAAAAACATTATATTATAAAAAAATAGAGTATTTTTTTGAGGTGTAGGTAGTAGATTAGCACTCCCTCCCGATCCTCAATGCACCCTTTACCTATAAACTAGTTTGAAATTACAGCCCACTTTTACATCTTTCTTTTGATTCCAAGTTATAGATATTTGAACAAGAATTGGCAAAGTTATAACAATTTATGTGAAAAAATAAATTTTTTTGACCACAGTTTTATCAAGAAATCCATATATTGAAAATTTAATACTAAAAACACTATAACCTTTTATAGAATAGTTCGATTTTCCTAATTTTTTCACCTTTAAAATACTGTATTTAAGGGCTTTCTAATGATATACAATATTTTAGTATTTGATCAATTTAAAAAAATCAAGCGAATATTTCGTCTTGTGGAAAACGGCCTTAAGGTGGCTTTCCACGGAGCGAATTTTTTCGCGCGAAGCGAACTTTTTCGCCACTATTTTTTCGCAGAATCAGAATTTTAATTTCCACGTAACTTTAGCGTAACCTTTAGCGCGCTTTTTGGAAAACATGTTGATTAAAAGAAGATTGTTGTTAGTTCGAAGAAAATTAATTATTTTAAAAATGTTGCAAATGATACAAGAAAAAGAAAAGAAGAAAAAACGATTTTGGGTAAGGAAAATTTATACCGAACGCCTTCAGAAAGGAGAGTTTCATTTATTAGTCCAGGATTTACGTTTACACGACCAGGAATACTTTTTTAAGTATTTTCGTATGTCTCCAACAACTTACGAAGAGTTGCTTTCGTTTGTAGCGCCTATCATTGTAAAACAAAGAACTACCATGAGAGACCCTGTGAGTCCGAGTGAAAGGCTGGCCGTAACACTTAGATTTCTTGTAACAGGAGATGCTCAGTGTACTATTGCTGCAAGTTACAAAATCAGCGCATCTACTATCAGTAGGATTATTAGTGAGACATGCGCTGCTATCTAGACATCATTGAAAGAGAGAAATTTTCTACACGTCCCATCAGAAAAACAAGAATGGAAAACAATTGCAAAAGAATTTGAAAACATGTGGAATTTTCCGCATGCTATAGGTGCAATAGATGGCAAGCACATTGTTATGCAAGCTCCTCATAATGGCGGATCAGAGTATTTTAACTATAATAAAACGCATAGCATAGTTCTTCTAGCTGTTTGTAATGCTAAATACGAATTTACTATGGTAGACATTGGTGACTCGGGAAGACAGAGTGATGGTAGCGTTTTTAACAACTGCAGTCTTGGTTATGCAATTGAAAATAATAAATTGAATATTCCTGATCCCGAATATATTGGTAATTCAGAAAAGGTATTACCGTACGTTTTAGTTGATGACGATGCTTTTGGTTTAAAAAGACACATGATGAAACCATACCCTAATCAAAACATTCCTTTAGATCAAAAAATATTCAACTACAGACTTTCAAGAGCCAGAAGGGTAATAGAAAATACATTTGGTATTGCTACAACACGCTTTCGAATATTTCGCAGAACAATTATTGCTAATCTTGAAAAAGTCACTTTAATTACACAAGCGATTGTAGCCCTACATATCTTTCTTATGAAAAAAAAAATCAGCAAACAATTATGTCTACTGTCCCACAAATTACACCGATATCGACGGTCCTGCTGGATTTAGACCAGGTGATTGGAGACAAGATAATTCATGTTCTGCTGCACTAAAACCAATGTCACAATCAGGTTCTAACAACTACTAAAAAAATGCAAAGCAAGTTAGAGATGACTTTAAAGAATACTTTAATATACCAGAAGGAGAACTGGAATGGCAACTAAACTTGGTAAATAGAAACTTGTAATTGTGAACGTATAAGTCACTATTTAAACCATGTAGTTTAAGGGTAAATGCTAATAACTATTACTCAAAAAATTGACATTTTTTCTCTTATTTCTTTAAGGACAAAGTAAATTATGTTAACAATTGATATAGTAAAATTGTAAGACTTTTACCAGGTAGAGCACATATACTTTTAATAATATAATAATAATTTTATTACAACAATACTTAAAATCTTGAACTTCAAAATAATAATTTTTATGTTGATCTAAAGATTGCTTTTTACATATAATAATTTCATAGAAAAGTTAAAAATAAGTTTATAAACTTAATAAATAATTACACCAATGCCAAAAAAACCTGATAATGGAAAAAAAGTCAAAAGTAAGAAGTACATTAAAGATGTTCTTAAAAATAAAAATACATCGATAAAACAAATAAAATATAACAGAAAATTATTATATATATATATATATATATTTTATAATTATAATTATATATAATTTACTCTAAATCTCTTCATTCTCACCATATTTCATGTTGAAAAGAAGTGTTTTATCTTTATCATAGCCCGTCTATTTTCTTTTATTGGAAGTTCTTTCATAATAGGAATAAGGCTTCTACAAAATAGGGTAGTTTCATCTTCCTCAACATTTTCTATTAACTTTTTTAATATCTTGTCACACTCTACTAATGATTGTGACAATTGTGACAACTCATCATTTTGATTCGTGCCTTCTTTTGAATGGGTGAACTGGTATGGCTTAATCTTTTTCGATTTTCAGTTAGAATTAATTCACTGCTAAAACTACTGGTACTTGGACTTGTGTAAAACTACATTGTGAATGAAACGATGATGGTGAAGCAACATCTGGGACAATATCAACATTAGATTCTGTTGGTTTGTTTGCACTTTTTTCATGCAAGAATGTCATTTGATCAAAAAACTTACATTTTGGTAAGTTTGAGGCTGCTGCTCCTGATCTGGTCATACGGTTAAGTTTATCTAAACATTTTTTTAGTGTATCTTTTAGATTTTTTAACTCTTTCTGAAGGGAGTCCTCTTCTTTACAAAATTTTAATGCAAGTTTTTTCCAAGCGTTTACTTTAACCAATCTGTCTTTGTATGTGGGGTGATTCACATCCCACAAGCTTGGAAGCTCACGAACAGCTTCTATAAAATGATCTATATCGAATTCAGTAGAAATAAAATTATCGTTTTCATTCTCTTCGTTTTCGTCTATTTCATTAACTACTTCTTCATTCGTGATTGCAACTTGATTTTGAGAAGCATTTATTAAAGCTTCCAATAAATCTACGCTAACATTTCTTTCTTTAAACCACTCAATAAACGTGTTACTATTGTCGGCCATTAAAATTTTGTTGTTTTTTTTTTTTTTTCTACATGCTGAATTTTTATATTTGCTTAATTTGCATATTTAAAAAGTTCTGATTGGCTCTTCCTTCAAGCGAAAAAATGCGCTACCGAAAAAGTTGAAGTCAATCCAACTATTTTGCAAAGAGAAAAAATTCGCAAGGCGATAAAAATGATTGTGCGCATGCTCAGAAATATTCGCGGCGAAATATTTCGCTTCGCGCGAAATAATTCGCTCCGTGGAAAGCCGCCTTTAAGCATGCGCAGATTAAAGATTTTTGGCAATTATGCTGATTTTGTTTCACTTAAGCGTTTCGCTTCAGCGAAAAAAAAGTCGGATTCATTTCGACTTTTTGCGAATCGCCATAAGAGAAAACCAATCAAGTTTTGAATATTATATCACGTGATATCAACAGTAAAAAAAAGCGAAAGCACGTTGCTTTTAACGTAACAAAAACAAAATTCTTAACCTGGCCTTCTTATTAATTTTATATGAACAACTCTGAAATTGGCAAGCATGAGTAAATTCATCAAATTCGAAACAACACTTATATAAAAAAATCACAAGACTTATATATAAAACTAAATCGAGAATTTACAAATATAAATCCACGTACATATATATATATATATATATATATATATATATATATATATATATATATATATATATATATATATATATATATATATATATATATATATATATATATATATATATATATATATATATATATATATATATATATATATATATATATATATATATATATTGCATTTATTTACGACCATATATCTTAGTATGAGTTACCATAGAACTTACGAATGTATAACTTATTTAAAAAAAGTTTCTTAACAGTCGTAAAAGTTCGTAGAGAAACTTGAAAATACTCCATATTTAAGTAAAGTTGCACATGCGTTGTGCGCTGTTTTTAGCTTGGAAAAACGTTTATTGAACGTTTTTTAAAGGTCCCGTAAAATATTAAAACATAGTTAAAAGTATTAAATATTAAAACAAGTGTTGAAACGTTTTTTGAATGTTTTACTTAGGGAATGTCCACCATTTTAGACCCCTCCCTCCAACCTCGTCACAACATCGTAACACTTTAGTAACAAGTTCCGTATGAGTCGTTACAAAGCTACTACCCTCACCCCCCCCCCTCTAAAGTGTGACGTAATTTATGGACGATTCCTTATACAATCGTCGTTCAAGCAACCATTAAACGCTTGCAAAACGTACTTGTGCCCACTGAGTAATTATTTTCATCAAGTATTAAAATATTTCAATAAACTGTATGCTATTCTTTTCATCTTAAGTAAATTTTCCAAACAGTTATTGAAATTCTAAGGAGCGTTCTACTTTTTAATCGAATTTATGACAAAATCAGGCAATTTTAATAAGAAATATCTATTTTTATTAACTTTATTCCCTCTAAGGCAGCTGAAAACATTAAAATGAGCAGCCGTAGCGCAGTGGTAGCGCACTTGCCTCAGAAACAAAGGATCTGCGGTTCAACCCCCACCTCTGGGCAAGTTTTGCGACATCGGTTAGAAAGGAGGCGTGAACTTTTTATTAAATGCTCTTCCGGAGTGCTCTGTGATAAGACCGTAAAAACTTCTTGGGACACCTAAATAAAGTTAAAAAAAAAATTTTAGAATTTTATTTTTACTTTATTTGAGTGCATACCAATGGAGAACTTTTTGTTGCTACTACATATAAATACTCTACTTTTAATTTTTTCACTGCACCCTAAAGGGTGCACAAATGCAACATCCTAAACGGGCTCGTTGATGGTGCGGCCAGATTCTTCTCATTCTTCTAACATGTTATTATTATTATTATTATTATTATTATTATTATTATTATTAATATTATTATTATTATTATTGTTAATATTAATATTTCCTTTATAAATAAATACAATATTTAGGTGTTTATGAGAATTTACAAAAACCTGCGAAAGGTTTTATTAATCGAGATAATTTTGGGTGCAGAAGTTGTAGCGTACGCTATATTTCTTTCAACCATTTTTATAACATAAATAATATCTAAAATGTTATTTAGAATTGTTTTTTTTTTTAAAAAAAGTATAAAAAATACTAAGTATCTATTTCTTTATTATCTGACTGGAATATTGACATTTCAGACCACTTTCCAGTTTACAAAACTACACAAAAAAACATTAATCGGGAAAAAATAAAATTAAAAAGTGAATAATTAATGATTCATCCTGTATGACTTTTATCAATCTGTTATCCACAAAACTTTGGATAACAGATTGATAAAAATATTCCGCAACTAGTGGAATCAAAAGATGATATTGATGAAAAGTTCTTAGCAAACAATTCAGCTTTTTCTTTAGGTGAGGTGAATAACAGGTTTGCCCTTACTATAGGTTCTGGCAATAAGGTCTTACTGATCTTCTTTCAGATACCTAGTTTTTTAAATGTTTGTAGTATTTGCTTACTTTATAATTTGCATTAGTTTTTTATAGTCTCATTATATTGTAAAAACGAACTAACAAATGTAAACTAAAATGTCTGAAAAAAAAATACTCGCGAGGTTAGAATTATTTAGTTCTATCTCCACATTTTTTTGTTTTGATAAAGCGATTTAAAAAATAAAAACTTTGGGAGACGGCATATAGAAAGATTCTTATTACATATGTCTTCTCCGAAACTCTTTTGATTTTTAATATAGTAGAATAACATTATTTTTAGGTACATGACACAATCATTAACTCAATTTTTTCAAAAAAGTGAAGATAGAACAAAGTAATTCTAACCTTACGTACTGTTAAAGATTCTCCAGAAGTCACGAGAGCCTAATTTTTGACATGAAATACGAGATTTTGCAACCTGATATTAGCTGGCTTTGGTGTTAGATAAAACTTTTTTACAATGTTTTCTAGCAATAGTAAACAGATATCTTTGTCTGGAGAATTGTTTTGCTGATATGTATGAAAGTAATGGTTACGATTTGAAATTGCAGCAGCACGATGAGAGGAAAACTATAGGAAGAGTGAGGCTTGACTTGGAATCGTCAAAAGGGAATAAAAAATTTCACGCCAGCCTAAATCCAATAAATTACGTAAGAAGCACGTTTGTGAGCAAGAAGACGAAAGATTTTTACCTAAGAGTCATCACAAAGAAAATCGGGGAAAAAGTCCCATTCGGCTTAAAGGTTATTGTAAAAGATAAGATGATAGGGGATTCAGATGATGAAAAAGAATGAGATAATAGTTTTAGAGAGATCAAACCGTGATTAGAAACACCTTAGAGAGAATAGGGAAACTCAGTACTGACTAGGATTAGAAAGTCTTAAGTCGAGAAAAGAAGGTAAATGATTTAGATTGTCTGGGAAGCGAGTTGGAAAGCTGACTGTTTGTGTTAGAGATTGAGAAAGGCAAAAGTTATAGGCCTTAACGCCTGTAGAATTAATGATACTAAAGCCAAGCCATACAGTGTGATGAACATTACAGGGTTTCCACTTCATTTCGACAACGTATCATTTAATTTCGACATTGTATCAGTACATATCGACAATGTTTCATTCAAATTCGACACCGTTGCATTTGATTTCGACTGTTTTGTATTTAATTTCGACAGCGCTAATAATACTTAAATTAATATACAAATAAAACAGTTAGATTCTTTCTAAATTCATTTAGATAATATAATTTTTTAGTTTGGGTACAAACTAAAATCTAAACAAAAAAATTATCGTATATAAAGTATTGTAATTACAAATACTCGCTAATAAAAATAAAAATTACAAAAGTTAGTTTATTCTTCAATAACTGGTTCTCTTCTTGAACACGGAATCATATACCTCAGTATGTGCGCACAATATTTGTTACAGTTTGTGCTAGTAATATTCAATGCACCGTTTTGTATATTTTCAAGCAGTTCCTCCTCAGTCCTAAACGAACATTTTCTTATAAACTGTTTCTATTCAGAAAACATATTTTCAATAGGGTTTAAAAAGGGGGAATATGGAGGTTGAAAATCAAAGAATGCCCAGCACGTACTATTTCATTATGAATAACAGCAGTTTTATGAAAACAAACATTGTCTAAAATTAAGATAGTTCCAACAACTTCATTAACAGCTAATTGTGCTAATACTAAACGAATAAAATCTAAAAAGCTTTCTGTATTAAATGCTCTTGTTTATGCTTCATATTTCAAAATTCCGTTTTTATTCATTGCACAACAGACGGAAATATTTCTTGACCGTAGTGGGGTAATGGCAAACAGCTAAGCGGGAACGCAAATTAAAGACAATTATTATTATATATTATGATATTTATTTTTTATTATTTAATCTACCCATTTGGTTAGAAACTTTCAAAAGCAATTTTCATATATCTTATTAAAAAATAAAAAATTCGATCAAAAACAAAACCTTCGGTGTTCGGAATTACCCTACGTACGAGGGGTAATTCCAAACATACCGTGGGGTAATCACTATTGGCTAATAGCAAATAAAACGTTGATTAAAGCAAATCAAACTTGATTAAAGCGTTAAAACATTATTGAATGAAATTTTAAACAAATCAAACGTTAAAGAAACAAATATCAATAAATTTTATTCAAACCAAATAAAATGCTACATGAGTAAAATGTCAAATATCAATAAATGTTATTCATAAATTGTTACATCCATTAATTAACTGCAAAAATAACAGAGAAAACCTCTGGATGTGCTTGCAATTTGTGCACTTCTCGTGGGATAATCCAGTCTTCCGTGAGTGGATCATGATACATTTAAATGAATACATGAAATAAATCCTCTGAACATGCTGAAGCTTTTTAGTTTTTTATATTTATGATTTAGTAAAAAAACTAATCTATTTATTATATTTAAGAAGCTTCACCTTCTCTGTAAGGTGACCGGGATACTTTATGATAATATAGTATCAGAAAGTGTGTGTGTGTGTACTTTTACCTTCTGTATACAAAAGGTAAAATTTTACCTTCTGTATACAGAAGGTAAAAAGTACGAATTGAATACAAAATTACATAAGTGTTTTTTACTAATTTATTAGTACAAACACACACACACACACACACACACACACACACTTTATTTAATATAATACGTGTTACAAACTCCATAGTTATGATACTTTGCAACAACATAAATAAATGCGTGGTTTTATATGCATAGTATAGCCAATACATAAATATTTCGCAAATAAAAATTACATGAAACTAAGAGAAAAACTTAGAATCAATCTATCGTGAACAACCTTCGCATCTATACAACACTACTCTACGTCTGGAACTGAGTAAGGAATCCACTATCGTCAGAAAAAAAAAGATTGTCAACTATCCTTTTCTAACATGCCGTAACGACCTTGTTCGGAGTTACCCCGCGTTCGCCATTACCCGACTCTCCCCTATTGGTCACTGTTTGTGTCGCACTCTTTCCAGCTAAAGAACGTCCTCTTCTAACTTGTATTGAAAGACTAAATCCTACTTCATCAATAAAGAATATTTTATTATCATTCATAGAAGACAAAATGTTCATGAATCTTTCTGCATAAGAAGCTCTTTCATTAATAACGTCTTCCGAATTTCTTTGTTGATATTAAGTAATTAATATCAACATTGTTTATTTCACTTATATATTTTACGTATATTCAAAAAAATATTGAAACCATATTCATGATGTCAGTATCCACTTTAAATAATGCAGAACTAAAAAAATAGCCACATTAATTATTTTATTGTCCCGATTAAATTCAACCCATTATTATTTAACAAAGATTTTCATTATAAATATAAATACTTTAATTCAAAAAAGAGTGTTTTTAAATTGTCAAAATGTGATGCAACAGTGTCGAAATTGAATGCAAAAGTGTCGAAATGTAGTGATACAATGTCGAAATTGAATGCAAGAGTGTCGAAATGTAATGATACAATGTCGAAATGAGGTGAAAAACCCTGTAGAGTCACCAACAACAACTTGGTGATGACGATGGTTTTTTTTGTGTTTTATAGTTTTTGGTACTTTAACTATTTTTGGATTTGTTAAAGAACTTGACTCAAAGCACAGATAGTAGTCAATACATTATTTAATAGCCCAAGCAATTGTCTTATCACTACTAATAAACCCTAAGCCATAAAAAAGGGCTCTAAATGTGGCCTCAACAATTCACACCAAAAATAAGAAGAGGGACACCATCCATGCGCAATATGGCACTGTTTTACTCTGATACTTTACAGCTGTTGATGAAATCAGCCTCTCTGAGAGCTATCACAAAGTTCGGGAAACCTGACTACCAGTCTCTTTAGCATATAATAAAAATATTATCGATGACTTATAAATTGAGTTCAATATTTGATTACAATATTAATAAATCTGAAAACGATTATTCATTATTGTAAATATTTTGAATTAGATGAATTGGATAATGCTGAAACAAAAAGAGGTTAAAATTTTTGTTTAAAAATGTCAATGATTATAGTTTGAAAGAAGCTTTAGAAATTTCAGGTATTTTAAACACATAAAACCGTTTATTTATCTCTTAAACACTATGAAATTAATTTTTCATTGATAATTACTTAATAACAACTTAACAAACATTTTTAATTTTTGTGCATACTGAAGCTAATGTGTCGTTGTTTGATTGAAATGGTAATAAGTATTGATTATCATTGTTATCATATTAAAATGATTAAACAAATACTTAATTGAAAAAAGGTTTTTGGAATTTTTCTTCAAAATCCTTTATTATCACATGTCACATTTTAAAATTGAGCGATGCTATTTTGTAACGATATAAACAAGCTCGATCTATTGAAAGAAAAACCGGAAATAGAAACAAACAAAGGATTTAAAGTAAATTCATTCGTTCCATAAGGCAAATACATGTCAGCTGCAGAGAGATCTTACGAGAAAATTCATATACAGCAATGCATTAATAGGAAAAGTACTTAGAAATAAAGCAATTTATCAATCAAAAAAGCTACATAAATTTTAAAACAAAAAAATTTATTATAATAATTATTAACGGTGAAACCTAGGACAAAAAAGACTTTTTACAATTGCTAATTAAACAATATTTTTATCAATCAAAATGCAGATATGTCGCTAAAAAACTTAAGTATATTCAAACTTAGAAATTTGCTCCCAAGTTCGTTATATGGCAAGCTTTCTCCTGTGGTTTGAAATGCATTTCATACATTGCTCGTAAAACTTTAAACGTTGGTTATAATTTAAAAAATTGAAAATAAAAATGATTTTTGCCATTTATTAAAAAGCATGACATGCACACAATATTTTGATCTATTTGGCCACAATTCACTACTCCAATTTACTACTCCAATAAGTCTTTATTAGGGTGTGAACATTTAACTTCACAAGATTAAACTTTGTCTCATCAGTGCACAAAACTTTCTTTTAGCAAATCCAAGTCTTCGGTTTTGATAGGTTTTTGAAAAGAATGGTTTCTCGCTTGGAACTATTTGTTTAAATCCACTCTTTCAACCAATCTCGAATAGCACATGCACTCACTTGTATTTCAAATTTTTTTAAGAAGACTTGATTCTTTTGGTGCTAACAAAAATCGGTTATTTTTGTACTACCTTTACAATTTTGAAATCAGTTCTGGATGTCGTTTTACGCTTATCTCCGGATCTTGACTAATTCTTCCGATATCTAAACAATTTTTACGTTTTAATCACATTGTTGATGGTTCCTTATGCCATTCCAGTTGCTTTTTTTATCAACCTAAATGTTTTATTTTGCTTGAACAAGTCAATAGCTTAATATGAATTATTAACTAATAAAATTATTCTTATTAATTTACATATGATTGAGTAGAAAAACACTTTAAAGAGATTTATATAAAGACCCAGTAAGCACAAGACGCATTTTAGACACTTATAGACGTCTAAAACTAGTCTAGGTAAAGACGCACTTTTATAGACGTTTTAAAGACATCTTTTAGACGTCTTTTATGAATGCGTTTTTAAAATGACGTTTAAAAGGCGTCTATTTAAGCGTTAAAAAAACGTCTAGAAGATATCTTTTTTTTAAGATATCTTCTAGACGTCTTTAATAAATGCGGTTTTAACATGACGTTTAAAATGCGTCTTTTTAAAGTTTAAAAATACGCTTAAAAGACGCGTAATAAATAGTCTAAAATACGCATTAAAAGACGTCTAGATCAAAGCTAAAAGACGTCTTTTCTGAGACCTGTTTATAAATATGTCATTATGACTTCTTTTTGACGGCTTTGTCATTACGCGTTAAGTAGATGTCGTATATTCAAAGTAAAAACATAGTTTTTATTATTTTCAATAATTTGTTCAAGTTTTAAGTGTAAATTACTTTAAATTAAATTACTTTTTTACACAATTGCTAAAATTGTTGTCACAGGAATCACTAAAATAATTGCTATAATAATAATATATCTTTTTTTTATTAATAATTATTTTGCTTTTTTAATAGATAGTTGACTGATCATGATAATAAGTGAAAATGGCAAGAATAATATATAAGTTAAATATCAGTACTTTTAGTTTTTATACACCCACTAGCCATATAATAAGTCAAGTATCCGGTCAAAAATTAGCTAGCAATACGTGTGTTAAATTTTATCATAACTATAGGTATTTTAAATACTGTTTTGATTTATATTTGTTACTGTTATTTACTATTTTCATCTTTGATGCATCAGCCGTTGGTGGTGATTACAGCAATATTATTTTGATTGCTGGTTCCTATGTATATTTTGTATATACGAAATTATAACAATATATGATGTTATAAATACAATGAAAATATACCACATACTACGCGAAAATGTTACGTCATGTTCTTAAATTTATCTTGAAAAAAACGTCTAACATACGTCTAAAATGCGTTTTTATAAAGACGTCTTTATTTAGACGTCTTTTAGCCTTATGATCTAGACGTCTACAAGTGCGCCTTTTAGACCTCCTTAAAGACATCTTTAAAACGTCTTTTAAACGACTTTGTGCTTACTGGGCGAATAAATAAAAAAGTCACATTTGAAGCTTTATTTCACCTGTCAAATGAACAAGATTTTATCTCGGAATTTACTACCATTCTTATTCTTTAATAAAACCTAGAACAATACTATTTTCGGGA